AGGAAAGGGAGAAGAGAAAAAATAAGAGTAGACCGAATAAAAGTCATCCAGCGTAAAAATTGTGTGTATGGGAGAGAAAGAGGAATCAAAATATCAAGATAAAAAGTGAACAGAAAATAGAGAAGTGGCTTGCTGATGTTCTCCAGGAGCAAGAAGTTCTCGTTAACAGCACCACCATCGTTGCCACCAGCATCTTCACCACCGCCACTATCACCACTACCATTATAGTCGTATATCAATATCCGGTTTTACCTACCAACGACAATAGTATCAGATCTTTATCGTTGTGTCGTTGTTGTGTCATCATCAAGGAAGCACATTTAAAACATCTATGAACGAAAAGGATACGGATGCTAACATCCGTTATTCTGTCTTTTAGCTTATGAAGCAACCCTTTTGAAAGCTCTTAAATCATCGATTCTTCATTCTCTATACTATTATACGACTGCTTCTTCAGTTCGATATCTTCGTGCATTACTTGTGCCATCAGAATTACGAGATCGACATAACTCTGAATGTCTTCACATATACAAAAGTCGTGCGCGGTGAGAATACAGGTTCAATATTTTTATTTACATTTTAGTTTACATTTATTTATTTAATATTACTACTTTATTTATTGATAATGTCATTATTCAATTTTCAAGCCACGAATAAGACTTGTATTTCAATCTTTTAATAATAATTTTAAAATATCCTATTCATTTGTTCTTTCCATTTACTCCATACTTATTGTTTTTATGTAATAATATCATTTATTTATTTATTTTTTTTTTTTATCATTTTTATCTTCCCTTTTAATTATGTTTACATTTTTATACATATTCATACATATATTTTATTTAGTCCTTAAGAATTTTCGGTCAAGAAAATCCGAATCTTTCTATCTTACAATCTTACTGTTTAACGGGTCAACAAAATGATAGATAATTTTTCTTATTCCTCCTTCCCTCATCCCTATTTCTTTCTTTTTCCCTTATTTTTTCCTTTCTTTCTTTCTTTCTTTCTTTCTTTCTTTCTTTCTTTCTTTCTTTCTTTCTTTCTTTCTTTCTTTCTTTCTTTCTTTCTTTCTTTCTTTCTTT